TATTTATGTAAAGTATTTAACGTTATCACTCGTAATAAATAAAAAATCAATTCCATTCAAGTTGGATACATACGAGATGAAGTTATATAAACTATAAAATAACTACCATTAATTAAAAAAACTAAAAACATTAGTAAACAAAACAATTTATGTAGAAATTTAAAAATGTATGAGCTATAATTTTTATAAACGCCATTTACCCAAAGTTGGATAAAAAAATATCAAAAAGTCTTTTATTTGAGAGATTATGGAATCCCAAAAAATAAAATAATATTCGTTTATGTATCAAACTTAGTATGAATTATCAAATAAATTAAAAAATAAAAAGGCTGAGACAAGCGGTTGGGTTGACTATAACTTTTAAGGGTCATATGTATTGCAAAGCTATAAAAAAATATTTACATAATTACGTTTTTAATAAAAATGTTTTAATTAATTATCTAATAAAAATGTAACTACTTCATGGAGATAAATTTGTACAACGATTTATTAAATAATTTACGTTTTTAGTTCATAATAAAATGAACATAAAAGTTTTCTCTTTTAATGTATTTTAACAAGTATACTTTCTTTAGGATTTAAATAATGAAAAATGTTGACAGCTGCATATCGAAAAAAATTTTTGTCCATATAAATTTTTATTTATTATTCTTTTACAATTTTTTATTTTAAAAAATTAAGAAGTCACTACATTTAATGCATTTTTATTCGGAGTTATCAAGTTGCTCTCATGTTGGACACAAAATTCATTCGTTATTATTATAGATAACATTATGCAAGATTTTTCACGCAATTTAAAACTACATTTTTGAAAATACAGTGCAAAACTACCATAACTTATCATAAATACATTACTTATAATTTGTTGATGTCATAAATATCTTTGAATATAATAATAAACTCGATAATTAATGATCAAAGGAAAAGCTAATCAATTAATTAACGAATATAAATTAGTTTTCCGAATTGTATCTTTTTTAATTAAATTTCATTATAATTAATGCAATTGATGTTTAGATATAATTATTATTTTTCGAAAATATATAATTTTTACTACTTTTGTTATTACATTCATATTAGATTTTAATATCGGCCTCGTCTTTGTTATATTATTGATTACGATTAATATCTCAAGATATAAAAATTTAAATCCAATCCTCTTCAGATCTACTCTTTTATTATAAAATTTATTTTTTAGTGTAACCTCAATGAATGACTTTCCTAGTGAAACTCCTTCTTTGGTACTTTTATGTAAATCAAACATTAGATACTATTCTGGTAGTACATGGCACCATAGGACTAGGATTCATAATCGTTAATTTTATATTTTGATAAATTTGAGAATTTAAAAATGAGTGAAAGTATCTAGTATAGTACATGTTTTGATTCCTATATAAAAATAAGTTAGTGTACTACTCATAAAATAAAGTTACTGTAAATTAAACTGCGTTATTTGATGATCTGAAAAATATAAGCTACGTGTATCTTTACCATACTATACTTATAGTAACAATATAAATTAAAATGCTCCAAAACAAAAATATTAAACAGAATTTTTTAAGAACTATAGTATAGTTCTAAATATTTTACAGATTCAAAAAATTTTATTAAATAGTATGCGCTATCTAGTGAACAATACAATTCTCTACGCCAATTACAAACAGAGAGTAGCACTTAAATATGTCGCAGTTTATTTTCACGAAAGAACAAATTTTGATAAAATTTATCTAATTTAATTATGGAAATCAATTATATTTTTAATTGGTTAGCTTTAACGAATTTGAAGATTATTTTTCTATAAGAAATGAGTCGTCAATGTTTTTTTGCCTTTATTTTATATATACAATTAATGTAATAAAACATACAATAAGAATAGAAGATAACAATATGAAATTTAACATAATTATTTTGTGAAAAGAGGACGCCCACTGACAACTCTCTTAAACACTCTATAAAGTAACTTTTTTGATTATTACTATTATTTATTCATTTTTTTATACTGTGGGTCAAGAAGATCTATGCATTATTTTCTAGTGGATTAAAATTAATTACCAAACTTATGACAGATATTAAACACGTAATGGGTGAAATTAATTATCACGTATATGACCCAGTGATTGCCATTTATAACAAATATATTATGTTAAATTTAGTTTTTCATCATTATATCGGAAATTATTTTCAATATAAATAAAACAAAGATTAGAATTCGATTCAATTTTAACAGAGTTAAATCATTTTTTAATATATTTAAAACAATTAGTCACTTACACTGCAAGCTACAAGTTAGTCAGATAGGGTATAGGAAAATCTGGTATTGTCTCTATACAAATATATATCATAACATTAAATGGATTAAGATTGTAGTTTATAATAATTTAATAGAATTACAAGTATAACAGATGTTGTGATTTTTAAAGCTCGTTTAATGCACTTACAATTACATTAAAGTCAAATTTTATTATTTTGTTGTGGAATTTATACCGAATTTAGCATAATAGATAGGATTATCTTTAATAATCTGTAATTTTGATATTGTGTGAGCAATCATTTGATAAAGTGTCTACAAGAGTATCTATATACTCATAATAATATACTATAATATACTCATAATCTACTTTGCTGTAGTCATTTTAATGGTTACAACAAAACGTAATAGTAGCGACAAAGATTAAAAGTTATAGTTCTAATATTTTGTTACAAAAATCTATTTTAAAAAATAAGTAAAAATATGGAATATTGGGACTTTTAGTCAATTCCACATAAATGATGGAAACTGGTAAATCTACCAAGAGCACCTAGAATAGCTTCTAGAGGTGAACAAACTAAAAATAAGATTTAAGAAAATTGGCGATTATCAGCTGCATGGGTTAGGATATGCATAAAATCCTAAGGGATTTATGCACATCCAAACTACCAAAGAAAAAATCTATGTCAAATTATCGATGAGTTTTTTATTCAAAATCTTATGTAAAAAAAAAAACAATTAAAATCCCAATGAAGCAATTTTAAAGGCCTAAAAATTGATTAAGCCTAATATATTGGTAAAACTTTTTTATAATTTTTTAAACATATCTTCATATTGCTTTTCCCAATTATGTCAAAATAAATACAACTACGTTACTGCTGTTCAATAAATGTATGAATAGATATTTAATTTTTAATAACGATGTTATACTAATAAGTATTATTGATATATGTAACCTAATTGTATTCTATTAAAACTTTAAATTTCAATGTTTGATTCATTAGCTGAATGATACATTATTAATCATTAATTTAAGTCTTTCATAAAATACAAAATAATAATTGTTTTATATTTATTTATAAGCTTACTAAATCAAAAAAAAATTAAAATCAAAGAGAATTAATAATAAACATAATAGTACCTATTAATTGATACTACAGTATAATACAAATAAAATAAAAATGAATAAAAATGAAAAACAGCAAGCAGAAAATATTTTTTTTTTGACACTGCGAACTCGAATTCTCTTAAGTTTCTTTAATGTCATACTAAAGTTTATTATTTTAATTAAATAAGTTGGATATTTTAATACAACAGAAGTTAATTATTGATTTATATTAATGAAGTTCATTATATTCAATAGGTACCACTATGTATGTCCTACAAAATTGTTATTTTTCTATGATAATTGAATCATAATTTTAATTGGAATGTATATTTACAAAAATAATTTAACACATAACTTCTAATTGTAGATTTAAATTATTTTCTGATCTAGTATTTTTCCTACGAAAAAATTTTACAAATCAATAAAATATTTAAAAGGCCATTTTAATACTTTTTAAAGAGTGATTTATGAATAAATTATGTCTACTATTTCACAATTTTAATTTAGTTTAATAAATAAATATTCGTAAAATAACTCATAAATGTGTAAATACTTTTCCAATAATGTTATATTTAGTTTAACTTGACCACATATTACGTCTTAATATTGTATACATTATAACTTTTTACTAACTTAGACATCTTTGACACTTTTTTTATATTGTACTTTAATTAAGTTTATGATTATTAATTCTCGTTAAAATACGATGCTTACGTGGTAAGAAACGTATGCCCTGCTAATTTCTTACTAAATTAATCAACTAATTAAATCTTTAGTGATCAACATAAAGCTTTGTGTCAGCTTTGTTTTATTAGAAGTAAATATGTAATAAGATTTTATCATGACCCTTAATTAATTATATTCCATATGCATATTATTAGTTACTCATGAAAAAATAACACACTACAATTTGGTCAATCCGGTTGCATTATAATCTAACATTTAATAAATTCACTCCCTTCTATTACATTTTATATAATTTTGTGGTTCATATCGAAAATTTAAATAAAAAAAAATATAAGAAAAACACAAATTATATTTAAATAACAGGTGTTGCTAATGACTTCTAATTTACCCCTCATATTTATTTATGTTAAACAAATAAAATTTATATAGAAAATTTGATACATCACAAAAATGAGTGTTTGAAATTTTAGATTATATGTATAAAAAAGGATATATTCCATCGTGAGTCAATAAATTATGCCTAAATTTTAACAGAAAGTTAATTTTTTTTTATTATAAATATGTAAATTTCCAATTGACCCCTTTGAAATTTTAACTCTGTTTTTTACCCTCCTGAAAAATGACTAAAATTGATTTATCAACATTTAGAAAATTACCACATAATAATTATCGGATTCAGAATATGAGGATTATGAGCCGCCGACCAAAGTGCTTTACTGCTTCATTATTTATTAATAAATTATTACTCTATATTGTCTTTGCATTAATTATTTTATCGTATAAAAAATATGGAGGAGTGCAAATTAATTAATGTTTAAAGTAATTATTAAATTTAAGTTATATAAAAACTGATGCGCAAGATCATTTGTTAATAGTGTAAACATGTTGTGGGAGTGTCTCCAGGGCAGAATCACATACGTACAATAACTTTTGATATAAAACGGCGGAAAAGTCCAAGATAAACTTTTTTAAAGCGTCACTTCATGTGAAGCAGTCGTAGGTAACTAACTCTTAAAAACGTGCATGAACAGCAACAGGTAAAAAATAGTAGTAGTAAATCGTGTAAACGTCAAAAAATGTACCAAAATTTTACAAAAATATATTTATTCCTTTTGATTGTATGGATAGTTGAAAATTCAGAGAGCAAACAAGGAGGTAATATTTTATAGATTATCGTAATTAAACAATTATTTATTCAGAAAAAAGGCTTCAAAATTATTAATTTATCAAATGTTTATTAGTCTGCATTTTATTTTGTTAAATGTATTATTTTAAATAATTTTAGAGTAAATTTATTTTATTTAATAAACTTTCAACTTTTTTTGAACTAGTTAATTCAATTTGCACAAAATTTATTTAACAATTACATAATTATCCTGTTAATAATTTTTTCGTCACGCCAAAAATTATAATATTATTTCAATGTACAATAAATAAATAATTCAAGATAACAACAAAATTAACTACAAGATTTTTAAATTATTAATTTTTGTGAAATGTTAACTTTAACATGTTTCTCTGCTTTCTAATCACAAGTTACAACACTAGTGCCGAATTTACAAGAGGTGCACGGGATACATTGTAACAGGGGACTTCTAGATTTTTAGAATTTTTAGAGTCCCTATTGTTTGAAAAAATATGTGTAAGCCATAAATTGAAATCAAAAATATTCATTCAATACATATTGTTTAAAAATTGAAAAAAAAAATCATAATTATAAATTTTTTTTTCAGCGAGCTTAATTTTTAGTTTACACTACGATTTTGTAAACTCAGACCTAGTACTGTACTACACTGAGTAATCTCGCAAATACAAAACACATACATTTTTTTAAATGATGCAAAAGTCCATATTTTATGATTAAAACGGGAAGTTTTATATTTGCACTTAAAAATTGTCAATTTGTATATAGTTCCAATAATGAAATGTTACTTTATTTTTGTTCTCCTAATGTAAATACTAAAATGAACATATTTTAATGGCCTTATATTTAAAATAGCATGTACGAATATTATTGATATTATTCCTATATAGGAAAATTACAATAAAAAAACATTTAATAGCTTATTGCAAAAATAAAAAGTTAAGTTAATTTAAACCAAAATTAATTAGTTATGTGATTTTATTTACTATTTTATCTTCAAATAAAATTAATTATATAAATATTTTGGAAAGTAATAGCCTAATAATATTGATATTTTACTTTTTACTCAGTGACTAAGTTTTTATGATAACCACTAAGTTGCATAAAAAAAGCGATAATACATAAAAGGTAATAGTAAAAAATATATAAATCTGTTTTTAAAACTACAATTTAAAATACTCCAACTTCCTAATCATATTAAATTGATCAACAAGTTTATTTTCACTGTAATGTCTTCGACTAAACATTTTTCTTCTCATCTAATTTTCTTTTTAAACTTTTTAAACAATTAAACTGAATTAATAAAATTAAATAATTTTATGGTGTTCGAGCATAAAGGAATTACTATAAAATTTCAACTTTTAAAAAATACATTAAAACTAATATAAAACACATTTTTTGTTTATAAACTTTATTTTATACACGTAAAAAATGAGATTAAATGTAAGCTGTTAGTGTCAATTTCAATTTTCCAAAAGTGGAAATTTTATAGTTATCCCCTTTTTCTGCAAACACCACAGAGTTTTATCTATTTATGTTCATCGTTTTATTTTTGAAAACATTAATTATGCTGATTTTATCCATAAATTTTCCATTTAACTCTTTTCTAACATTATGAATTAATATTTATTAACTGTAAGCCATTTATTTATTCTAAGTACACTTAAAAAATTATATTTCATCCTACAATATGTACTTTTTTATGACGTCAAAATTTTCCCCCAAAGGAACTATTTAATCTTAATTACAACATATGAGTTCCAGAGTATACAAATACAATAAAAATTTACTGTATTCACAATGTACAGATAAACCTTATGGTCATAAAAATTATGACCATAAGTTCATAACTCAATTTTTATTTTATTATAATAAATTTTACAAGCTCTTACTTAAAAATCCAAGTATTAAAAAAATAGATGAAGTTTATTTTTATTGGAAAAAGATTCGATTTCCAAAGTTGGAAATTGGAAAGTGATTGACGATACGTAAACATCAATATATTCTTGTAAATGTATTCTTTACCACAAAAAAATAACATTTCAGAAATACTAAATGGTATTTTTCAGTAAAATTAATATCTTTTAAATTAATAATAAATTTTTATTATGTTTAAAAATATTTATTATTTATACAATGTTGTAGAATATATAATATAGTTTAATTTGTATATAACTGTGAAACAATGAGTGGAAGGCACACATCAGAGTTTTCTTAACAATGAAAGTTAAAAATTAATTTTAAAATAAAAAATACTGTATCCAACATTAAAAGTGAAAGTTTAAAAAAATACCTCAAAAATTTGAAAGAAATTTTCTTAATTTGCTTCACTAACATGTCGGCTTATTATAATAATAAAAAAAAAATTAAAACTTTGTACTTAGCTTAAATGCATACCTTAAACATAAAAACAAACTATTTTATATTCCTTTTTCTTTTATTAAGAAGAAACCTCATCTCTAATCCTCAATACTATTAAAAAATGCATTAATAAAAAGTACATATAAAAGGTTTCTCATTTTAATTAGTTCCATGAGCATAGATATTACACCAAGAAAATAAGAACATTCTACTATTTTCTTTTACATAAAATTTTCATTAAATAAATTTTTATGGATAGCTTTATACCAGTACATACTTTATTACTAAAATAAAAAATTAATTTGCCCATTTTTTTATTATTTTACACATTTTATCATTACATAATTGATGAGCTTTTAGATGAAAAAGAAAAGTAATATTTTAAGAAAATTTTTATATTTAAATGACTTTAGAATATCTCGTGCTTTATAAATACTTTTTACTTATATCAATTTATCAAAAATGAGCTCTAATTTATAAATTGTTAACAAAAATTTTTTTAGTACGAACATAACTATTTCTAATTAATAATAATAACTTTTAATCAGTAAAATATTTTTGGTTTATTTTTTATAATTATTGCTTTCGTGAATTATTTATTTTATTATTATTACAATCATATTTAGAGTTATTTACTTAATGTTAATCATTATAATCTAACTTAAATTTTTATGACTATGATTATCTTTTACCATAATAAGAATCTCGCCGTTTTAAGTGCACATTTTAAATATTTAAACAGATAAAGTGTATAGACAGTTTTTCAAAACTGGTTTTCGACCCATCAAATGACTTTCATATTAAACCTGAACAAATATTTTAAGTATATCGCACATGAAGTTGGTTTATAGATTAAATAAAATGTTAAAATCTCATGATTGTTACGCCAAAAATGATTAAAAAGAAAATTTTATGTTTTAAGGTTATAATGTACTAAATTTAGTTCAATAATAATGTTATATTCATTTTCATTAATGTACTTGTAATATGAACAGTCAAGATTTTATTAGGGATATCAAAAATAAAATATTAGTTTATATTTACGCAGTATTTTTTTGAATTAAAACATAGTATGATATGAAATATTAAATAGCCTAATGTAACACTAAACACGTATATATAAAATGATTATTAATATACAACTAAATATAATGTTAATAAAATAAAGTTATCTTATATATATATGCATGTATTAAAAATTCTAATTAAATTTTGACTGGAGGTAAATTAAACTTACCATCAACATAATCTATAGCTACTTTAAGGTTGGGTTAAATTTAATATTTTAACATTTACAGTCTGTTTTTTGATGAAAACATCGCTTTGAGCTTAATTAAGTATTGATTAAGCTTTAATGTACAAATAGTAAATACATTTACTATGGATGTTATGCTTTTACGGTTAGCATACAATTATTCTAACATTCAACAGTAAAGATCATGTTCTTATTTTTTATTAATCTTATTTCTCGTAATTTCATACAAACAAAAAAATGAGTTGAAAAGTTATGATTTAATAATCAATTACAATCCTAAGGTTGTCGCTTAACCATGACCTTTAGCATTATCTTTACCTAACACCCAACTTAATCTAATTAGCCAATTGAGGATTAACCTAATTAGTCTACAATAGACATACGGGTTATAGTTCTAAGCTATAAACTTAAGCGTAGATATATTTCATTCATATTTATCTAATAATTATAAACTATAATGTATTGCAATTTAATTTCCATCAACATTTTTCAATAATCATTTTTACTTTTACATTTAAAATTGTTGTATTCTGAAATTTTCACTCTAAATATATGTAAAAACAAACATTTATAATACCGTGTTAGTTAATTCGGAAAATATTATTATAATTAATTTTTTCTATTAAATTAAAAACAAATGAAGTTTGTAAATCGATACTAACTTTATAGATAGTTAGATGATAATATTTAATTTTTTGACATATCATTCCAGTCCTTCATAGTAAATTAGATAAAAAAAAAATAGTATTTGAGCACTAAAATGATGTTAGGTTGGATTACTATGTGTTAATTAAAAATCTATAATTATATCACTTTCGTATGAGTATACGAGTTTTATAAAAAAATGTAAAAGATAGAAAACTATGGTGATCTTTATCTATTAATATAAAAATTATCACTTTAATATTAATAACGCGACGTGTACTGACGATGATTAGGTTAGATGGAGGCACCTTAAGAGGAAATTATACGGTCAATTTTTGAACGTAAAAATTTGTCTTCAAAAAATGCATTTAATACATTTACTGGGGAGTGATTTAAAATGTTTTAATCTCATTAAAACTAGTATAGTTGACCATATTTAATGTGCAGTAATAGTTTTTCAAGTATAATTTTATTTTTATAATTTGTTCAAAAACAAAAAATCTATTTTTATTTAAAAATTTACTTACATCACTTAAGCTGTAACTCAAAGGTATATAAAATCGAAATCTAAAATACAACAAATTTCATTAGTCTCTCTTTAAATTTAATGTGAACTCCCGTAAATAATATTAACAATAATAATATTACATGTACTATAAAAATGATCGAATAAAAAAGTAATTAAATTATCACTTGATGAAGATTAGTATTGCAATATACGTGGATCGGCTATGAGTAGTATTATAAACATTTTTGCATACATTTTAATATTGCTTGGTACTTGTCTGAAATGAAATGCGTGTGTAATGTTCCGAAAACGACGAAAAATAATTGAATATAACCAATACACTATTGTCGTCACAAAGCAATTTTTATTATTGACTGTTGGTATTATTTTAAAACACATTTCATTCGCATGAATGAAGTTTGAACTTAAATATATTACGTATCTTTTACAATATCATGTTAAGATATTATTCGACGAATTTCTGTTAGTTATATGAGACATATTCAAAACTTGGATCACGCGTTAATTTGTTTTTAGTGTTTATAAATATTTTTAATGAATTATAATTTTAAACACAGTCAATACTAGTGACCTATGATATGAAGTCCTCTCTAATCATAATATTCTTGTAAGAATTTTTTTTTTTTTTCAAAGTTACAAAAATAATCAATAGTAAGCATTTTTATAGATTTTTAATACTTATAATTATTAATAAATTACTCTGTTAATTCTTAAGCCAAAAGTTAAATTAATCAATTTTTGTTTGACTTTTTATATTTTTGAGTTAACCAAATTCAACTTCACAAGAATCAATTATAGTTTAAAATCGTTTTGGTCTATTATTAATGTACACTTGCCTCATATATATATATATATATAATTTTTGGACTTCAAAAATAAGGGGCACCCTAATATATATATATATATATAATATTTTAATATAGCATTATTATACATACTAAAACATTTAAAAATAATATAATAAGTAAACATTTTTCTTTATATTTAATCATTATAAGTTTGTGTAATTTTCAAAAAATAAATTCTTAAATAAGAATTCTTGTTTTTATCGAACACTGGAAAAATATAGCTTCATAACTAATGCAAGTAACAGTCAAGTATAAGAATTCAGTGTTTCTTAAGGATCATAAAAAGTGCTTCTTAAAGAAATATTGTTTACTATCCTATTTCATTATTTGTAGAAGTCACTACAAGTATCAAAATTCTATTAAACTATTCGAGAAAAATATTTTGTTATCATTTGAAAAATTATACTTATATGAAAAAAAAAAATAGTTGGGCACTCTTATAAAATCAATGACCTTTAATTTAAAAAACACACCTTTATAAATTTTACTTTTTTAACATATAATAGGTGATAAAAACCATCTATTCTTAAACAAGTACTGTCATTTAATTTGTGTTAAATAATTAGTTTTAGAATGATTTGCTTGTTAACGCTTTATTTATCTGTTTTAACAGCGTGTTTAAGCTATGGTCATTCGTGTTGGGGAGGTAAGTTTATCAATATGACAAGAACGTACTATTAACGTCTATAAAACGAATTGTACATTCAATTTATAGCACATGGAAAACGCAATGAAAACTTGTCTAATAACCCAAATTCTTGGTTTTTGTATAAAATGGCTATGATGCATAAAAATGATAATGTACCAATAGAACTTAGACATCAATCAAACGAGGGAAATTTGCCCAATTATTTCAATATTTTAAAAACATACATGCGTAATTTTGAAAAAAATATTAACAGGTAAATTAGGTACCTTTAAATTTTTAATGATGAGTTTAATAATGTTGTGTTTAACATAAAAATTAATTTATAATACAGTGAAGATTATGATAGTCCGTCAAACTTACAACTAAAGTTATCAAGCAGCAAGTACGTAGAACCTTATATGGAACCTGAAAACCATTACAGAATAACAGTAAATAATATTTTAACGTGTATATAATATTGTGTTCAACATAAATCTATCTTTTTACAGAAATTATGAATTGGATGATAATGCACAATTTACCTCATTAGATAAATATAGAGTGTGTCAGAAAAATCTTCAGGATTTATAGAGCACCTCATTTATTTCGTTTTAGACTTTTAGAAATATTCTTATTATTTTTATAAGTTAAAACCAGTCTGAATTTAGATTCAACAAATTTTAAACTCATTAGTTTGTTTTTTTTTTACCGTAATATGGTTTACTAAACAATTACTTGTATTGGTAGTAAAAAATTACTACATAAACGAGAAGTCTTTAGTAATGAACTTTTTTATATTGGGTGATAATAAGTAAAAAACGGGCACTAATGAACGTGTCGCTTGTAACACTATCACTAATTTTTTGAGGGATCAACCAATATGCGAGATGAAACCAAAAAGACATCCCTATGGAAAACGATCCTTTGTCAATTAAGAAATTATTTTTGAAGATTTTGTTATTAATTTATGGCCACAACCGCATAATACATGTACTCGATATTGTTTATTCTATAAAAATCGGAAATCTTAAAAAGTATAGTAATTTATATTTTTGATTATTTAATTAATTTTTAATTATATAATTGAGAATTTAAATCCTGCAATTATTTCTGACATAATCTATAGTTAATAAACATACCAAGTAAATCAATATCTGTTTATATTACTGCACTTCTACATTGTATAATAACGAAAAAAAATATTTTTGAAATAAACTGAATATGAATAGTTTACTTAATAATTTTGCAACTGTAGTTAATTTTATTAGTAAGTTTATTTTATTCCTTGGAAATTATATAAGATAATCCTAGTTTAAAAATTCCTAGTAATTAATTTAGCCGTAATAACGGTTGGAAAATTCAACTGGGAATTTTAAATAACATATACTTTTGGTAAGTTATAAAAAACATACCTACTGAAAAAAAAATTTCTAATAATTAATTCAAAACTTGTAAATGACAGTAGTCATCATTTTAATAAATTTGTTCTCATTATGTGGTAAAACTACTCGTAAATAGGTTTATTATAACTTAAAAGTTAGTTGGTTTTGTTTTCTAAAATAAATTTATTTTATTTAAGTTTTTAAAATTTTTCTAAATAATTTATCATCATTAATATTCTAAAAATATTATAAAACTTAAATAATCAACAAATATAGGTACTGTAACAGAATGTTTTCCATATTCTTAGGGCGGCATTTTGACCGTTGTTATTTTAAAAGTGATATTTGTACATTTTTTTTTTTTTAATCTTGTTCGTCTTATTTTAAAAATATAACGTATGTACAGATAGAAAATCTGCACATATAATAATAACATATTTCTTTTAATAGAATTTTAATTAAAATTAGCTATACACAATGGTTAACTTTTAATAAATCATTTCCTAATATACTTTTACTGTTTATTAAAATTCCATAAACATTAATTAAATAGAAGTGTGCATTTATTTATCAATATTTGCCGCACATGTAATATAACGAACAATAGGTTCTACTCTTAAGGGAGCCTACTTCACACTGTTTCATACTGTTTGTAATATGAACTTGTCTTTTTAAACGTATATTATTTCAACTGATCTGACACATAAAATATTAATAACATTATATACCATAAAAAATCATTAGTACAATAAACCAGCTGATAATAAATTCATTTAAGTGCTTTGGAAATGCCTGTCAAACAGAATTTTCTATATTTTTGCTTAATATCTGTTCGCATATTTCATAATAAGTAAGGCGCAATAGATATAAAATAAATACAAATTTATAACATTAAAAAAGAAGTAATAGTTACAATTAGTTCTATATTTCATGTCATAGTAAGCCAGAAAAATCGAAAGCCTATAATTTTAATTATATTATGTCCGATTATTTTAAGTCACAAAAATATCAATATTTATAAAATTAAATAAGATGGTTTATTCTGCATCGTATTGATGTACAATTTAAATTTCATAATAGTTAATTAAAATAAGAAATAATACAACAAATTAATAACAATTAGAAGCATAAATTATATATTTTATAATAAAGATACGTAAATCTAATGTATAATTTTAAACTTAATCCTTCATATATAAATACTTTTTTAATAATTTTATAGAAACAAAAACTCTGCACTAGTTAATTTCTATTTAATCTTAGACAGTATTCATTTCCCATGTAGTATCTATTGGACACACGTGTATAAGTACTACTCATAGTCTTTAAAAATTCCGTTTAAAAAATAAAGTCATACATGTTTTTAATTTGTAACCTAACAGATACGCGTACTAAAAAAAAATGAGCTAAATTACTTTTGCCTAAATACGCGAAATTTTATTAGTATAATTAAATTAATGTATTAATAAATTTATACATTAAATACATTTTAAAAAATATTTATCACGACCATATTTATGTGTAATAATTTGTGTAGTTTTTAAAACTTACCTAGAAAATGTATGAAAATGCACAACTCAAATACAAAAAATTATTTTTGATTCCTTAGTTTTAAATTGACTCCTGTTTAATAGTACAATACAATGTAAAGCTTAATATGTATAAATTTATTTTTATTCATATTCAATCATAACAAATTACTTAATTTAATTAAATTATCTTATATTACATCTAATGTAATACATCAAAAATAGCGTATTATTATCTTAAAGTAATTTTTTGTGATATCTAAATGAATTTTTCTTATAAAATAAAATAAGCATAAGTTTAAAACAAAAAAACAAAAATCTTTTTCTTTTTGGCAACTTTTTCAACATAAAATCGCGTTGAAATTAAAATAATTTTAGTTTTAGATAAATACGTTTTTCTAATTGAACTAATTTTGATTTATCACTATGTAATTTATTCTCAATTAGAGGAGTATATTTGATATGAATATATAAATTAATTTAATTATTAGCCATTGCATATAAAACTAGGGCTATAACAATAACTATTAAATGAGCTCGACATGTGCCAGCAGCTCCCCATCCACATTCAATATCAGATTTAAAAGCGTCTGCCAAAGATTTTTTTCTATCTGCACACATGGCAACCTCCAAGTCTTCATCGTTTATAAGACAATTAGATTTGCTCATAGAATAATAATCAATTTCTCTTAATCGATTTGTCGAAGAAGGCAATTCATCAGTACACAAATATTGCCGTTTTTTTCTATGCCAAACTTCCATCCAGCTATAATAAACCAATAATTAATAAAATTCTAGAAATAACGGTTTAAAGTTTTTTTTCTTTCATTAAAAAATATTATTTACCCGATTTTACAATCACAAACCCATGGATTCCCAGATACTTTTAGAGCAGTTAAAAATGTTTCTCTGTGTTGTTTTGGCAAATTATTTGTCGATGGATTCCCAAATGATTTCAAAGAATTATTACGAATATCAAGACTGATATTCCTAACAGTACCCATATTATGAAAAAAATCAGCTGATATAGATTCTAAGCTAGTGTTGTAAATTGTCAAACTTAAACTCGGATATTGCATTCCCTGAAAATGTATTTTATAATTATTATTAATTTATGCAATACTTGCTTTTAAGCAAAAATGGGTCTCATTATACGGACAAATATTTTTTTATTTATTTTTAAACTTACTATTTTACACAGTAATTGTACTAAATAAAATACATATAAATAAGAAATAAGTTTTTACTTAAAATGGTAAATGTTCTAAATCAACTCATGAAACAATAAAATTTATAAACAATACAAACTCGTGTAAAAAATACATTTTTACTGAAAATAAAGAATTATGTTGAAAAAACTACGTCGATAAATTAAAATCTATGGGCTCATTGATTCAAAATGATTACTTTAGATGAAATCACAAATGTATTACGAAATTTCAAATTATGTAATCTTTTAAATATTCTTTCCTTTTTTTTTTGCCCACAAAAGTAGTGTTTCTATGTGTGTCAGAAACCATATCGCTTTAAAATCAAAATCAAGACGCCTTTTTTATTTTTGAAATAAATAAATGCAATTTATTTATTTATAACTTTAATCTATTTTACCTGTAATAATGTGTCAGATGACAACAAGTGTAAAGCTTTACCACTAATTGTAATATTTCGTAACTTATACGGAAGCAAACCATTGAATTCTTTTCCTATTCGTGAGACTTTATCAACCTTAAATTATAATTCCATTTAAAAATAAAGAATATTTTCAATAAAATTAGTAAGTTACTTTTAAGTTTAAATTTCTTATTGTATGAATATCACCAATACAAGATGCTACGTTGAAATCTTTGACAGCTACAAATGTACTAATTACTAATGTTCTTAGAGATATCATTTTGTTTAAAGCTCCAGTCTAAAAATAATAATAATCTTGTGAACTATCATTATATTACATTGGTTTATTTAATAACTAACCTCGAATGACATTAGCGGCAAATAACTAATATCTAACGTAATTAATTTTTGAACTCCCATTGTCAAACTATTGTTGTTAATGTCATAGATATGATTATTGGCTAAATTAAGACTATTGAGTTGCGGTAAGCTCATGACGATCGGTGGAAAACCAATAAGTTCATTGTTGCTTAAATCCAAGTGTTGTAATGAACTTAAATTTGAAGCTTTTTCGGATGATATTGATGCTATTTGATTTCTTGATAAATCAAGATGTACAAGTGACGGCAATGGAAGTTCTGGTATCTATTATTAAAAAAAACAAAAAGAAAATGTAAGTTGCTATTGTTAGCTATAAAAATAAAATTATTGTTAATTATTTTCTATTATAGATGAATTATAAATCATAAATAGTTAATAAATTTACAGAAAGTTTAATAAATTACTCTTAGTAGATACTCACATTTATCAATGAAATGTTTTTTAATCTAAGATATTTAAGTGTCTGATCTAAACCAAGGAATGTTCGGCCTTTGTTTTCAAAAACTAAATCGTTATTGCTACTTAGATCTAAATATCTAAGATGAGATAATGCTGCAAAATTGGAATCTTCCAGACGTATCAAACGATTACCAGCCAAATTCAATTTTTTTAAAGACTAAACCAAAATAATAGTTTTATTTAGAATAAAATTAGTTCAAAATTCATATATGCAGAGTGATTCAATTATCACAAACTATTTAATTATTCAAAAAGTAAAAATAACATTAATAATTTTTTTCGCTTTTTTAGTTCAATGTTTCATCAATTTTCAATCATAATTTTTTTTATGTTCATCTCTTATAAAGGTGTCACCTTTAATTTTTCAATGTGCAACACCCCTAGTTAACTAGCTTATTTAATAATAATTATTATAGATAATGATCTAATTAAGAAAATGACTGGTCGATAACAACTTTTGGACCAGTATTTCGGAAGTTATTGACATATTTATATCTAAGTGAGAGAAAGAGTACGACCAGGAAATGTTTAGTTATAAAAATAGCAACATCCACTCTTCACCTCCAGTGATTACTTTAAATTGTTAATAACTTCCAAAATTTTATGTTAATAAAATTTTCTCCAAAAAAATGTCACTCCCCTAAAAGGAAGTTAGGTTAGGTTTAGCTCTAAACCCAAAACCAATCAACAATGAACTATAATGTTTTAACCATTATTTATGTTAGTCATACACTAACGCGAATCATAAACGAATAAGACATTTATGTATACTTAAAAGTTCACAATATACATAGTAGTACAAATGAAACAAAACAAAACACAGCTCTCGTGGTAAAATTATTTTACCGCCACACAATCATTATTATTTACATCGACGTCTCAGTTCAAAACTGCAACAACTCAAATTATTTAGATTTTGAGTTTTGATTTCTAAGTTATAGTTCATTATTCATTATTTTCAGTTTAAATTCAATTCAATCTAGCACAGATGTTTTCTAAAAGAGGATATTTTTTTAATTAAATTTGACATTGGAGTTAACGTGGAAATTCTTTACTTTAAAATTTAAATTTTTGAGTTGTTACAGTTTTGAACTGGGACTTCGATATTATCTCGTTTCTAACCATTGTCAAAATACGGCGTTGGTCTAAGAATTTTCCGTTATAACTGGGATTCGTGTACTCTATTTTAATAGTTGAGCTAAATACTTTGACAGTTTAAAGTACTATAGAATATATTAATTTATTAGCATTGTTCATTTGACCTACCTAGTATAAAGTTATAATACAACGTAAATTAATCTTGTAAAATTATATTTTACTTATAATATCAAAATTATATTGCTCTATTTGTAAAATATATAATATTTTTTAAAATATGTTTATTTGATAAATTTCACAAAATACACGATCGTCGTTTTATTGAACAAACCGCATTCTAGTACTTTGTTATAACGACTATATAGTATTTAGTCAGCTATTAGTGAGACTTATTAAATACGAGAATCATAACAAGTCATAACATTAATATGTTTTTAATAAAATTAAATACGAATATATTAATACAAAAGTTTATTATTTTATCTTACTTTGAATCGTGAAAACATTTCAAAAACTGGTAGCGCTGTTATCATGTTATATGATAGATCCATATCACATATAACAGCAGCAGAATGTACAGCAAATGACAAAACAGGCATGCGAGATAATTCATTGTGTGCTAATTTTAATACTTCTAAACTGTTCTCCGAAAAAAACATATCTGGCAACACTCGAATTTTATTGTAGGAAAAATCAACAATTCTTAATTCGCTAAACCCTTTGAACAAATCATTGGGCACATCGTGCAAACGGTTATGGTTCATTAAAATTACTTGCAATTTTTTTGAGCTTTTAAAAGTATCAAATCCTATTTCAACAATACGATTATGACCTAAATCCAACCATATTAGATTATACAAATTTCCAAAAATGTTTCTGGATACTTGTGAAATTATGTTGTACGACATATGCAAATGACTTAAACTGGATTCCATAGGAGAGAAGTATCTATCCTCTATATCTTTTATGTTATTATATGATATATCTAAAACCTAATAAACCAAATATAATCAATAAACTTCAATTCTGCTGACAGTCGGTGCATTATATTTACTCTAATATTTGATTGAATAAAAGATTCTTTCTTGGAAAAGTTTGAGTTAACATGTAGTTTAGACATTTGATTATGACTGACATTCAAACGAAAATATGACAGCATTCCCACCTAAATAATTTTATATTAAAAATAAAGTAAAATAAATCTTGAATAATTTCATTTGTTTTATTAATAAATTTACCTGATCTAAGAATGAAAAATCCATATTTTGAATACTATTATAAGCTAAATCCAGTTCTTGCAAATTTGGTAAATTTTGGAAAGCTTCGCTGAATAATTTTTCAATTATATTCCCTCTTAAAATTAGCCATCGTAAACTTTCTAAGTTAGCAAACGCGTGTTTTTCTATACGAGTAATTCGATTTTCATCTAAATGTATTTTACTAAGAGATGGCAAACTATCAAAGGTGTTTTCTTGAATCTTCTTTAATGAATTTGATGATAAATATAATTCTTCTAAAAAGCCATTTATTTCGCTCTAAAAAAGTAAAGTAGTTTTGTAAATAAGAATGAAAAAAAATAAAGTAAATAATTATTTATTTAATTTTCATAATTGAACTCACTTGAAAAGTCCCAATTGGTAAAGAGTCAATCATACAATCTTGCAAATTTAATGTCCTCAAATTAATTTGAGCATGAAAAGTGGACTCGCGAAGCTGTTGCAAATGATTATTACTTAAATCTAAATATTTGAGATTAGATAGATAACGAAATGCATCCCCTGGAAATGGTTTAAATGATGGTGAAAAAGCGTGAGACATTTTAAGGTATTGTAATGAATGGCCAACCTACGAAATTAAAATATCATTTACTTTATTTTATTTTTTTACTAAAATTGTTTGTATAATTTTAACCTCTTTAAATGCTTCCGATTCTAAAAGATTTATTGTGTTATCTGAAAGATCTAGATATTTAAGACCATGAATATGTTTAAAAGCATGAGCTTTAATAGCTTTTAATTCTGAACCAGTTATTTGTAACTCATCCATATCAATCGTAAAATTCTGAAACATGTCCGATGTTAACGACGATGTATACAACCGTGATAACGAGAGCCGACGAACATATTTAAAACTAAAATAACACAAATATTTTGAAACCATATTAAATACATGTCCCCTTATCTATATTATATTATACCCGTTAATTGTGTTCATTTGAAGAGGCCCATTTTTCCAGCCAGAAAAATCAAAATCTTGTAGAGAAAGGAAATCTTTGTTTTCATCTGTATTTTTAAAAATTAGTTTCTTATCGTCGTTGTGGGATTTAAACCTATCATTTGGGCTTTTTTTTTCATCTGATTTGACAATCTTGTCAGATGTATCTTTTGAAACAAGGTACAAATTTTTCATTTTATTATCTTTCAAACCCAATTTTAGTAACATATTGAAATTTTGTTGTAATTTTCTAACGGGAAACTCAGTTATATTATTATGAGACACATCTAAAGTTTGTAGACAAGTTTCTAAACCCTTAAATGCATCTAGAGATACATTGTAAATTTCACAGTCAACAATGTACAATTCTCGAATTTTCGTACTTTGAAAAGCTCCATCCTGAAAAAATATTTGTTACTGAAATGTATACTTTAATAACCTCCATTAATTAAATGATTAAATAATCAACTAAAATAATAAAACACCACTAATATATCTATGATTTAGTATAAAAAAATAGTGAAGTGCAATTTTGCCTTATATCAAAAGAACACTTTGAAATTTTTTTTCAATTATCTTTTATGCATAATCCTTTATTTATTACAATCTAGTGACTCAATTATGTAATATTTACTTTCCAAATTATACACATCAAATTTTCTTATAAGATTAATAATATTCTATAATTAATCTAATTTCGTCAAAAAAACACTTAACATTTTTGCACTAAACCTTCAATATTAATTATTAATTAGTACCTGTATATGTGTGATTGGATTTCCATCGAAATAAGTTTTATTAATAGCTTCAAAATTCTGGAGACTCTGGTATTCTAAAATTTTTATATGATTATATTCTAAATGTAGTTCATCAAGAAAAAATTTACGCCGTCCTCCTTTAGATGCCATTGTTACTGATGGTCCTCTGGTACTTTCTATTAAGTTATAACTAACATCCAAATATTTTAAAAATCTAAAAACATTCAAATTTTCAGGCGCTGTAATTTTGTGTACAAAAAAAGCGTATAAACAAATAAATATTTAAGTTTTATGTGTTAAAAAAACTTATTTAATTTAATATTAAATATACAAATACATTTATTTATTGATTTACTTCATTTCAGACGAAGATAGATGAACGTAGGGAATAAACTTTAATAAATTATCAGCCAAGTTTAATCTATACAACTTTAATGGGCCGCTTTGAAAAGCATTAACATGTATTTCTGATATCATATTTCCTGACAAATCTAGTACTTCTAGTGACATAAGACCGTCAAAAGCCCTAGGTCCAATGAATGTAATTGCATTATCAGTTAGTTTCAATATTTTCAGCGAATTATCTAATCCATTCCAATCTCCAGTCTTAATTTCTGATATTTGATTTCCTAAAAAAGTAATAAAATATTTATTTAAAATAATTTTAAACTTATCTTTTTCAATTAAACTTATAATTATTATAATTGATAAGTTATATTATTAAATGGCGGTTAGGTATCAATAAATAAAAAGTTAAAAATTATATAATCAAATTTACAAAATTAATTTATGTTTTATTGACTTAACTAAATAAATATTAATTTAACTATGTTAACTTTAATAACTAATTAAAATGTACAATTTTCTAATTTAATAACTTATTTTTATTACATTTTTTATAGGTTGTACATAAAATATTGACATATTCATAAAAACTCATCACTGCACTAAAAAAATAATTAAATGCCAAGTTTTTTTTTTATTGTCTAAGTTTTTTATCTTAAAAATCTTTTTATACACAACATTTTTATTTTTGCAGAGCTGAACTTAATTCGGGTAAAATGTTTAAATAACTTTTACAGTTGTGCATTTAGGAAAAACTGGGGAATCATTAGTGCGTTAAAAAGTTAAAATTCAGTTAAATACATTAAATCAATTTCAATAATTTTTAATTTGTAATTGTTGAAATATTTGACTTTTAGCTTCGCATCGAAGCTGTGAAAGTATTAATTTTCTCATGATGTGTTTAATTTTTTTGGGTGTCTGTCACTAATTTTTTTCAATTCTCACTGGACCGATTTTTCTCAACAATATGTCATTAGATCACAAATCGTATCTAATTGAAGACATTACCCTCAAAAATTAAAAATTTTGTCCTCGTTCCTCGTAAATAATGAAAATCCCCCAAATAATTTCGACATTTTTTTTTCTAAAAATTGCCATAACTTATTGAAAAATGAACAAATTAAAATAACTCTTTATTATATTACAATCTTAGATATTTTCCTTTCATTTGATATAAATTTTTTGAATATCTGACCCTTTATCTGCCCACATGGGGGATTCAAAATAGCAACTTCTGCACAAAAATTTAACTTATTCAACTGAAGTTTTGAAAATATTCCTGAAATACTCCAAGTTTCAAACATATGTTAAAATAAAGATAAAATTATGTACTATAAGTTCAAAAAAAAATTTTTGTCTCGACGACTTATCATCTATATGCAACTGGTTGCTATAGTTAAAAAATATGCTATTTTTGTGTTAAAATTTTGGGTTTTGTATTTTAATTTATTTTAATATACCTTATAATGAGGTACACTGATTTTCATGAATATTATATAAAACTAATTGACATAGAACATAAAGTTAAACTAATTCAATTTTTTTTTCTTTTAAGTCGAAAAAATTAGTTTTAATATTTGAATCAGCTTAAATTGACAATTTTATTAAAAAATGAATACGACGAACGTTTGCCGATTCAGTAAAAATCATTGTCAGTAGCAGTTTGCAATAAGCAGATTTTAATGATCTATACGTCAAAAATGATTATTTTAATGTAATTGATTCCGTCAGCGCTTAAAAATGGAAAAAAATCTCTTTAATTTTAGAAACTTAGTACAGTATTTAAAATTATGTAGCTGTCGAAAATGGAAAAATCAATATTTCTTCTAAATTTTAAAATGACAATAATTTTTTATTAAACGTCAGATTTGTATGTAATTATAACGAAACATACTAGAGATAAAATGCTAAATATTTTTTACTACACTATTTAAAATGACACTGACTAAAAGGGGTGAGTCACCTATCATCTCTCCATATAACTGTTTATTAATATATAGTAATACCTGATAAATTAAGAATCTTTAGTTTTTGTAAAATTCGTATAGCTCGACTTGGCACAGTATTGAGACGAGTATTTACTAATTCAAGTTCCCATAGTGAATGTTCTAAGCCGTACAACGACTCTTCGTGCAAATCTGTTAACGGATTGTCCTGTATGGTGATTTTATACAAGCCTAAAAAAAACATACAAAGTATAATTTATCTTTTTCATTTCAATAAAATTTAATACCTGTATTGACAAGAAAATAGGGTTCAATTTCATCTAAGTCATTGTTACGAAGATGTAGGGTTGATAGTCTAGACCTATTAATCGCTAGTGGTATCCTAGGGAAGTAAATATCATCACAGTGTACTACTCCTAAACTGTCATAAGATTTTGTGCACGAACACAAGGGATTAAATGTACACGGTTGTTTGTCTTGCAAAAAATTTTCGGCTTTTATACTTGAAAACCATATCATTAACAAGAATGTGAACATCATAAGCGCATATCCCATATGTATAAACGTCATTACTGTCTGAAATAATATCATTTTTATTATACATAAAACTGTATCAAAATAATACAGAATAATTTTTATTTTCTAAATTATTTAAGTCAATAAAGTAATATGCATATTAATATTTACTATACAAGGTTATTGCTTAACTATATATCACAACTATATGCCTTGTGAGGCATAGTTAGTCAATCGCTCTGTAAAATGATTTAGAATGTTATAAACAGTTATTAAATTCATTCATTTAGCACTACATTTTTATAAGTTATGTTCTATTATATTGTGTTTAAAATAGGGATTAAAACTTAAATTATCAAAATACCAATACAAATTTAGTTCAAATGAATGCCAAATAAATATACTATAAATTACCAAATAAAAAAAAATCCCAATCCAATGTAACAAAAATTTCAAAATAAAATATTTAAAACACCCGAGATAAATTCGGGTTCATGGTCTTGATTAAAATTAATTAATTTAAGTTCTATAGTATTAACCGTAGATTCAATATACTTAAATGTAAGTATCTGTTGGATGGAGGGATATTTCACTTAATAAAAAATACATAATAATATTATAAAAATAATAAACTTCATATGTTACAGTTTTTTATAAAAAATATATTATGTGAAAAAGACAACATAAATTTTTAACCTACAATAAAAAGCAGGAAGTATTACTTTATGTTTTACAATCCTTGAAGATAATTGATAACAATTAAAACATATATATGAATGAGGTTATTAAGTCACGTAATAAATTAGTTGATTAATAAAGACAGTTCCTACTCAAAAAACGTTACAAAGGGTCTTTACTCTATTTATTTATTTTATTTATTATCTTAGAAAAACGATTAAATATTAAAATTATAGATATTTTTTTCTAACCTTTATTAAATGTTAAATCTAGGTAACTTCAGAAGGGGTTCTAGTCCCTCTGACAACTTAGCTAATTTTAAAATATATAGTGATTTTTAGTCAATTATTTAGTTCAAGATCTAGTTTTGCTCATCAATTTTTATTTATAGCAATTTTAGAAAATTATGAACAAAAAAAATTTTTTTTGAGGCTTTTAATGCTTTACAGGTTCTTTGGAGAAAATGTCTGAATTAAACACTGTCTTTATTCTATTAAAAAGGTTATATAAAATTATCTATTAATATCACGCAAGTTTTAAAAAATATACTTAAGATTTCATTATGAATAAAAAATTTCAAAACTTACCATATTCATAAAAATTTTTTTTTTTACATTTCATCTAAACATTTTTCTGATTTCAATTAACTATTGTAATGAATTAATAAAGTTTAAACGGCAATTTTTATAAACACACAACCGAACACATACTATTCGTTTGAATGAAATCCTCTTATTGCGAATGAAAAAATAACTCGCGAGCATTTGAAAGTTTTCTCTGAACGGCCAATTCGAATAGGATTATTTAACAGTGGCGGTGTCAATCTACTCTGTTCTAATACTTGGTGACTATGTAGCAAAAGTGGTAAAAAAACCAGTCGCTTTCTGTTAAATGTTCATGACGTTATTGAGTATAAAATAAATGTTAGCCTATGATGTGTATTTAAAAAGATACGCTTGTATAATACTATAATTAGAACGTTTAATTAACCTAATTGACCTGTCTATAGTAGGTGGATTCATGTTCTACGTTATATCAAATGACAAGTTGTTTTCCTGATAAGTATATATTTCAAACTCTATCTAAGTGAAATGCAGTCTTCAATGTTAACTTTATGTAGAAACTGTTTAATTGACATCGGAGTAGCTCAAAAAAAGTTTTCAGGGAGCTATAGTCTCATGCTCTATTTTATAAGTCTGAGGATAAACTTAGTAGGGGTTCTCCGTCAAATGATTTATTTTTCAACCCAACCAAAAATATAGTTTATTTGGATAATTACAAATTTTCTATAGCGGATTAAGCATCTATAGTTCCCATGCAACAACATTAATGAATGCTTAAAAAACTTTTATGAAAGTAAATTAAAATTATTCATCAATATTAATTAATAATCAAAGAATATTCTCGAAAATTATGTGAATATTTTTTCTAACTAATAATAAGAATAACAACATGTATAATTTAATGAAAGTAAAATTACTAATATGCATTTTTCTATTTGGATTTATCAAAACACGTTAAAGCAAATAAACTTATTTATTTACAAATGTTTTAAACATTTTACACTATGTCGGTCTGGTCCATCCTGTTTTCCAACAATTGCGGGGTGCCCTCACATATTTTTTAATATAAGCACCCACGTAATGAAAAAACACCTTAGTAAAACCATAAATTATTTTCAATTTACATCTAATGATATATTTTTTTAAATAAATTTATTTAATTTATAAAAAATCAATTTAACAAAAATTGTATTGTATATATTTTAATAATGAATTTGTTTATTTTACCGATGGTTTTTTCAGTGTGGACTATGGGGGCCCTCGATACAATTGGAAGTTATATTCCAGGACGCAAACATAAGCATACAGTATAACGGCTAACACTTCACAAAATACTTACTTATGTATTTTTAGAAAAAAAATTANAACGGCTAACACTTCACAAAATACTTACTTATGTATTTTTAGAAAAAAAATTAACTTCTCTGTACGTGTTCTATTTCGCTTGAATGAAGTTGTTACATAAATATATAATAAGTTGTAAGACTTCTATAGTCAATAAATAATAACCTTTAGTTCATTTTAACTAGGTAATCACTAAACATATAACAAATTTATATAATCATGCACATTATACTGATTTTGACCAACTACAAAATAACAAAAAACCCAACACAGTGGAGACGTGGCATAGTTGGATCCAGTATAGATGATATCTGACAGTGATTAAAATCACTATCATAAAAAACACTTCGATGCAAATCTGTCGGTAGTGTTTAATTTTAAAAAATTGGTGGATTATTCCAAAAGCTACATGATCTCCTATTTCGTTATTTATATTTTGATTACAAATTTCATGATTTATAAGTTTAATATATGAATATATGTATATATATATATATATTTATAATATATAAATGGGAAATGGTCCAATTAAAAAAAAAAGTCGCATAAAAGAAGAATATAAATAGTACTTATCTTAAAAAAATTATAATGATCCATACATTTTTCAAACAGTTATAACGTCATAAAGTTTAAAATATAATTTTTTTACAAAAATTTATTTATTTATTAACTTTAATGGCCGTATTCACTATGAAAACAAAATTAAGTCCGAATTTTTTTTTCATAATAAAGTATATTACATTAGCTTTAATTTAAGGTATATATTAAAGTTTCAGTATTTCCGGAACAATTTCACAACAAAAGTAAATTTTTTGTGAGAAAGGTGTCAATTTTGAATCCCCTCCTGTGGGCAGATAAAGGGTCAAATTTATAAAAAAAATATATCAAATGATATATTTTATGATAGGTTATTATACATTATACATCTATAGAAAAAAAATTATATAGGTTTGGTCATTTTTAATTAAAGTTATGACAGTTTTAAGTAAAAAAAATTGAAAATTAGTGATTTTAAAATTTGTAATTTTTTTGGAGATTTCCCCCATTTACGGGGAACGAGGGAAATTTGAGAGTAATGTCTTCGACTAGATAAGGTTTGTGATCTTTTGACGTATGGTTGAAAGAAATCGGTTTGGTGAGAGCTGAGAAAAAGTGGTAACAGACACAAAAATAAATAAATAAAAAAAAAACACATCATAGTAAAAAAATACCTTTTCAGCTTCGCATCGAAGCTAATATAATAATTCTTAATTTGCATTTATTTTCCGTGGCAGAATACATTATTATTTCATAAAAAAATTACACAAATAATCTATAGACTTGAAATAAAATAAGTTTATATTTATTTATCACATCTTATTGGACATAAAATTATGAAAAAATTGTAATAAAAAAAATATATACATTAATAACATAATGTTTTGTTTTTTGATATATTAAAATATTTCGATTTTCTGATTACTATGATACATTTATGTATTTATACAAAAACTGTATGTAAAAACAATTGTATTATACCTAATAATAAAATATAATTATAATAATTAGCTTGATTATATAGATAGATTATCTGATAATGCATGAAAATTAATACAATAATATGTTTCTAAAGTTACAGTGGTTTGATCCATTACTTTGTTTTTTCCTAAGTCATTATTTGAAACATCTAAAAATATAAATAATATTAATTTTATCATATGATATTTATATAATAATTCAATAATATTATGCATATTTATATACACATAATTTATATATATTTTCTTTAACTTTAAAAAATGTAAGAAACAATAATAAAGTGTTAACATTGTTTCTATCACTGATAATAATAAATCATTTTTCAATTAGCATTTATAATTTACTTACGATTATTTATAATAACTTTTGGTAATATATTTTTAGTATTTCTATGAAACACACTCATAACTTTCTTAATGTTATTTTGAGATGTAAGTTGTAAAGTCCAACTATCATAGGTGAATATTCTAAAAAATATTTTAAGGTAAATTATTTATTTCATCCACTCTCATAAAAATTGTGTATAAACATTTAAATGAAACATTTTAATCAGATCTAATATGTTTGGAATAAATTTTTCCTACATAGTAGTGGTTATTTTATATTTATTAAAATATCAATTTTAACTACATAATTATTTATTACCAAAAAAATACTACCCCTATAGGGAAGCTAATTTTTAAAGTTTTTAAATTTGAGTTTGTTTCTATAAATCTAGAAAAATTTCTATAAAATTTAGGATCTAACAACTTGATTAAAAGGTACGCAAGAAGATCAAATTTTTGGAAAAATTGTAGTTTTTTGCATTTCTAGGCTACAGTTTTCATTTTACCGAAAATATTGTTAAAAATTGGTAACACAATAAGTTAGTAGTTTTCTAACTTTTATCTATATTAGCAATTCTTATATTTTATATTATTTTAAATACTAATTATTTTATTGTATTAAGTATAGTTATCATCACTTTGTCAAAAAATGTTTCTTGTTGAATGTTTTAAAAACCAAAAACCAGAAGTAAATTTTGAATCAATAAGGAAGATAAATTCCATATTAGATTATTATCAAGAGCATTATTATATATAAATATATTTACACACATTAATTTTTAGGTAATATTAAACACATTTAGATTAAAAATTTTTAAATAAAAATTTTAATTACTTAGGAATATGATGTTCAATAAAATGGGTGTTTATTTGTGAACGAAAAATTTGAGGTGGTATTGATTTAATAGAGTTAAATGACTTCAAGGGTGATAAATCTCCGAGATAATGGCGCAAAGCATTCGTTGTCACAGACATAATGCACTGTGTTGAAATATTCAACACAGATTCTGTGACAGCTGATAAATCCAAAACTGTATGAATTTTACTTAACCACATCATCCACGAGTGTAAAACAGTCCACCATTCAGAATAATCAATATTGCAAAATCTAAAATAAGCATTTAAATTTTGTAAAAAAGACTTAAGAAATTTGTAATTATTTTTGTTACTTATTATTTTGTTCAATTTTCAAATTTTCAGGTAATGCAATTTTTGATATGACAAAAGCTTGAGTATAATCATTTTTTAATTTTTCAATACCAATTTCAATCAAAAGTTGAACAGGATCATACAGTTTTTCAGGATTAGATGCTGTATTGCTGGGCAAAGATTTTAATATTTGTGCTAAGCGTGTACCATTGGTAGATTTAATCTAAATTAATTTGTAAAAAAAAAATATATGTATAAATATTCAGGGTGATTTATTGAGGATAAGACACTTATATTCTTGGAAACTATAAAAGTTTTTATATTATGTTTCTTTATTTTCATAAAGAACAAAATTATTTGGTACAATAATATTTACAATATACTCATAATATATACTCTTTTATTCAACATAATTTTTTAATTGATCATTTTTGATTGACAAAAACATAGTGCATTGGAAAATTTTTATCAATAACTACCATAATTTATGGGCTATGTAAAAACAAATTATTCTTGTCTCTAGTCTTATAAACACAAAATGAATGATGAATTTTTACTTTAAATTATATTTATTGATCTATTGTTAAAGACAGATTATTCATACTTCAACCAACATTAAGACTTAATGACTATACTAGTACCTAATTATTACAAACATCTCTACAACGTAACTATGGTTATGCAGCGTGCGGGTGTACACAAAACATTACATGCTGATTCTAATTAATTAGAACACATCATGTCAGTCTACATTTTACTACTCTCGCGGTAACTCATTGTAATTAATTAAATTAATACTTATTGCTATTTTGATTATCTATTATTATTATTAACGGAATTTTGTGTATGTTCACCATAGTCGACTCACCTCACTTGGATTACTAGCCAACATCTCTTGAGACCCAATTAGGTTATAATTACACATAAAATATTTATATAGAAATAAACACTAGTTATTGTTGTTAATTGAGAATTTATATTTTATTGGTCACAAAACCTCTAACAGCCCTTTTAATAGGATATAAATTATATAGAGCCAGTTTAGCTCCATTTAGAAACAGCATAGTTAACTGTTAGAACCCTAGGGGAGAGCACATTGCAAATTACTATCGGTCACTCTACCAAACTGCAAAATTAAAATTTAAGTACAGGATTTTATTTACAAAGGAATGAAAAAAATACATTTTATTTTATACATAATATTGTAGATATTTTTGAACCAAATAATTGTTCTCTCTATATTAAGTTTTCAAATTACTAACATAATAAGTGTCTTAGCTTTAATGAGTCATCCTATATATCAACAAGTGTTTCAAATAATAACTTACTAATGGTTTGAATGTTTCATTTCTTACTGATTTATATAAAATATCAAAACAAGTAATTAAATCATTATATGATTTACATTCTAGAAAATATATGGGTGTATTTATAAATGTAGAATAATTATATGTATTAAACACAATCAAATATTATTTTACCCAACAAGTAAGTCCAAAATTTATCAGTGAACTCCTGTTGAATACATTCAGCAGTAATTATATCTCTCACACATTGACAAAATAACTTCTGATCACTATCTTCTTGACTACCAAACTTGCCTCTTTTGTACAATGTTGAAGATACACTTTGTAGCATAGATGGAAACATTTCAACTATATTACCATTGGTACCTCTTTTAATATCACCCTTAAAATTAAAATCATAGTATATTTAAGCATTATCATATCTTTTGAAACTACAAATAAAATAAAAATTATAAACAATAGTAATTAGTAAGTACATCATGATTTCATGCAAATATAAATACATACTAAAAATAAATACAAATTTGTTGAATGGGTAAAAATTGGATATATTTTATTTTTTGTATTATAACTAATACAAAGTATTATATTAAGTTTAATAGATACTATTAAATGTATACTACACAATTGATAACTAATTAAATTGTATTGTATCACTAACTAGTATTAACATTACTTACTTGATATTGGGGAAACGCAATGTTTTGACGATTACTTAAACATTCATCTTTCATAAACGCTAATTGTTCAATAAGATTTTCTAAAAATAAAAGTTGTTGCCAAAGTGGATGCATTGGACTTGTTTCATGACCCAAAAAGCAATGAATATCCTAAGATCAACAAATAAAAAAAGAAAAAAAGAATTTTTTATTTTAGTTAAATATGATAATGTTTACAAAAAAATATATAAATAAATTACTTGCTTTATTAAACATTCTTAAGTGTATTTAGAAATTTTTCTAAGTAAAGGATAATTAAATTTTTTCACTAAGATAGACATTTTTTAAATCATTTTTTTGCTAAAAAATTCTCTAAAAACAAAGTGTTAATCAAAAAATAAAGTTTTTAGAGATATGAAATATAACTATCAGCTCCATTGAAAATTTGGCCCCTCCTAAAATACATTTTGTATTCACTTAATAAATGAAAAAAAAATCACTATTATTTCTAAGTCTCAATGTAATTAATATCATTGAATAAGTATTAAAAATAAAACAGAATAGTGGTTCAATCTATTTATCAGAAGGTACTGTATAACATGGAATATTTTTCTGTAAAATATGTCTTCATTACTTACAATAAAAGATTCTGTAGACATTAAAGGTGCAAAGAGTGATGGTCTGCGCCAGGTAAGGTTAAGTTCAACCATTCCTGGATTATTTTCAATAAATGTTAGTTCTTCTGTATTTGAAGATGTAGTTAAATTAATAACTGCAGATACTTTTGATTCTAACTATAAATAATATTACATATTAAGATACATAACAGATCTTAAATCAATGTCAAATAAAATTTATAAATATTATTTACCATCATAGATGATACTTGAGGAAACTTTTTATGAATTTGAATCATATTCTGAACAGAAAGCTCTTCGTGCTCTACATCATTCTGTCCTTTATATTCAGCCCAATATCGAGAGTGCCATCCTTCACAAATGTCACCACCCAATAAAATGTTATTATTTTTAGACCCATCACACAATATATACATTGGTATACCTTTCAGATCATTATTCTTAAATTTTAAATATATAAGCTGTCTGAAATATGTAATAAATTAACTAACCTAAAAATTAAAGTATTTTCTAAAGCATAATAGTAAAATTTATATTGCTTAGGGTAATATCATTATACTTCAATTCCAGTACATTACAAAATAATAAAGAATAATATTCTTTTACAAAAAAAAAAAACAGTAGACACATAATGAGGAGTAATGTATTAAAATGGAATTTCTTCGAAAGTATATAATATTGATAATATATATAATTATATTAACAACTATTTTTATTATGTGATAAGTTAAGAACCTAACAGTAGTGATAGTGTCACGTTACCATTATAGTAAGAATTATTATAATAAAATACAGATAGCACATCCGCTTCCTGACACTGATGAATTAACAAATAATATTTATTGCCAAAAACCCAAAAGACCTGACCATCTTGGTCAGTCGACTCCAGTACCTTGTGTCATTCATTAATCTCAGTACTCGGTTGTCGCTGTTCGGCTTACTGCTTAAAGTAAAGTCTTTGTTTTTTCCTTTTTAACCTATCTCCTCTCTTCCACAACATTTTAGAGTACTTGTGTCTTGCATTTTGTCTGTACCTCGTACCTAGGTGTTACCCTTATTCCCTTCCTATAACAATAGCCTTTCGACATCCACAGCTTACCCGGAGTGTCAGCCGAGCACGGTGACAGCTGTACGACAACACGCACGTGAATACTTAAACAGCAGGCACCACATCCTCATCTTCATCTTTGTACACATTACATTACACTTCCCACTTATAGTGTTACGACACAATATACCAGATGTCATTAAAAATAAAAACCCAGAACAGGGTTCTGACAGTGATTAAAATCGCTATAAAAAAAAACGCTTCGATGCAAATCTTTAGATAGTGTATAATTTAAAAAAATTGATGGATTATTCCAAAAGCTACATGATCTGCTATTTCCTTATTGATATCCTGATTAAGATAAAGAATGTAAAATGAAAGATGTATACAAATACTACTTCTCATGAAAAAATTGTATTGATCTATACATTTTTTTAATAGTTATAGCATTTTAAAGTAAAAAATGTAAAATATAAAATCGAGAATTTTCACACAAAAATAACATTCGGAAGCCATTTTCACCGTGAAGACAAAATACAGTCCAAATTTTTTTTTTCCATAATAAAGTACATTACATTAGCTTTAATTTAAGATATATATTAAAGTGTCAGATTTTTCTGAACATTTTCAAAAGTTAAGTTGAAAAAGTTGTCATTTTGAATACCTCCCTGTGGGCAAGGTAAAGGGTCAAATTTATAAAAAAAATATACCAAATGATAGGTAAAGACATCAAGCATCTATAAAAAAAAAATATATTGATTTGTTCATTTTTAAGAAAGTTATGGCAGTTTAAGTAAAAAAAAATTGAAAAAATTTCGAAAATTAGCGATTTTAAAATTTGTAATTTTTTTGGAGGTTCCTCCATTTACTAAGAACGAAGGAAATTTTTCAATTTTTGAAGGTAATGTCTTTGACTAGATACTATTTGTGATCTTTTGACATATTGTTTAAAGAAATCGGTTTGGTGAGAGCTGAGAAAAAGTGGTAACAGACACAAAAAAAAAACACATCATAGAAAAATCAATACCTTCTCAACTTAGCATCGAAGGTAATATAGTTGTAAAAATAAGAAAAGAGTGTAAGAGTTTAATTAAAAATTTACTAAACAGTACTTTTCAAAAATAAATTGAAGAGCTTACTGGAAAAAAAAGTGGTAGCTTTTTCACTTTTGAGATATTTAAATTTCTTATGTAAAATGAAAAGAATTTATTTTTAGTTATATTTATTTAAAATTATTTAGCCCTATTTAAAATTATTTAAGGCCCTTTAAAATATTTAATCATATATAATGTCCATTGGTAAAAATCATATTAGAAAAAATTATTATCCTAAACTAAGTATACAAACTATTGAGGTATCTCTTTTGTAATGGAGAAGTACGATATGTGTTCAGAAAATAACAGGAATTTTCGTTGTTTGAAAAAAATATTTATTTGTTTGTTTACATTTATGTTATTGCCTTCAAAAATGTTCCTATTAGATATTATACTTTAGTACCAATGCTTTTTCCAATACTCAAAACACTTCTCAAACTCTATCTTTGGGATATTCTTCACTTCATTCAGCGATGCACTTTTATTGTCATCTATGATTGTAAAACGACGGCTCTTTAAGGTTCTCTTTATTTTTGGAAATAGGCAATCCAGAATACCTCTACTGGGATGATTGAGCCTTAGTTTTACATTGTATCCATAAACCCATGTTTCATCACCTGTTATAACACGTTTCAGTAACTCTGCATCGTAATTGACTTCATTAAGTGATTCCTGAGCAACTTCCATTTGCCATTGTTTTTGTTCCAAGTTCAATAATTTCGGAACAAATTTAACTGCTACACTTTCATACCTAAATAATTGAAAAAATTTCATATCATGAGACAATCAATATTTCAACATCATCGACTTCTCTGATTATAATTTGGTAATCATTTATAACCATTTCTTTCACTTTTTCCACATTTTCATCAATTGTTGATGTGCTGGGGAATCGTCAATGTCTTCACGGTCATCTTATATCATCCTTGTTTTACTTATGGTAGACTCACCATAGGACTTTGTTAAGGTTTCACACTCTTTATTACACTTTATTTAATTTTTTAAGCAAAATTTGATAGAAATCTTTTAACCTATTTTTTTTAACAAACAAAAACCACCAAGCTTATAAAAACAAGTCTAACCTTAGCGGCTGCTACTGACAAAGTAAAAAATGAACCCAGCTGAAAATTTTATCATACTTCAGAGACATGTGTATTAACATAACTAAAAATTTTTGTTTGAGAATTAGACTTTTCAAACCCGCGAAATAAAAAATGTGCGTTATTTTCTGAACACACCTCGTATATATATGACAGTTATTTAAGATTTAACACTACATCTTCTTCTTCTTCTTCTTCTTCTTCTTCTTCTTGACACTACACCTAAACTTCCCCTTATATGTTCATTCTTTATCTTATCTTCTCTAGTCATTCTACTCATCCATCGAAGCATTCTCATCTCTGCTACACTCATTCTCTGCTCTAATTTCTTATCAATCATCAAACACTTTAAACCATACATCATGGCTGGTTTTAATACAGTCTTGTAGAATTTACCATTAAGCCTCATGGAATCCTTTTATCTCACAATGACACCAGACACTTCTCTCCAATTTAACCCCCACACTTAATCTTGTATCTTACATCTTCGTCTATACCACCGCTCTTTAGCACAATTGACCCTAAATACTTAAAACTTTCTACCACTTCAAGAGGATCCACTGATCTCTTCATTTCACCTACCTCGTGTTCTCCTTTGTCAAACTCTTTCTCTATATACTCTGTCTTACTTCTACTTATTCTTAAACCCTTTTCTTCAAGAGCTGATCTCTCTTATCTCTAGGTTAAGATTTAACACTACATACACACTGTAATTGTATCAATCATCAGTTGCGTTAGTAAATTCTTGTACGCAATAAAAACCTACATTTAAACACAATTTCAAATAAAAAATAATAATTACATTAAAAAACCATATATTTTACAAAAAAAGACTGAGCCCTTGTTCTAAAAAATGATTCAATTAAAATTATTAATAAAAAAGCACTATTTATTCAAATAAGAATAGTTAAAAATCATACAACTTAAGATTATTATTAACTAATTATTTCACTTACCTTGCTTGTAGTAAATTTAATGGATTATGACAATCTTCTGGCTTATGACTTTCTACCAATATTTTTTGAGCTTTCACTGGACTAAATGGACATTCTAGAGGATTACCAGTTAAATCTAAAAAACCACACATTATTGTAACATTTGACAATCTATATTAGAAATAAAATTTGTTAAGACCTTTGCAATTTGAAACATTGTGAAAGAATATATTAAAGTAACAAATGAAAAAAAAATATATTTTAAAGTAACACCACTAAGTTTAATTAATTTATAGAAAATATATATTTTGGTAAAACAATACTCATTCACATTTTTTAAACATAATTTTTAGTAAACATTTAAATAATGTTTATTGTTAAATAAATGTTTTTTATACATCATTAATTATTTAAAAATAAAAGAAAATTTTATAAGATGTTAATAGATTATTAAGTGTAATATAACAAAAGAACGCTTGGGATAGAATTTTTCTTTACTCTCCTCTAATTGTATAAATATAACTTTTGTACCTATTTTTTTTTACATAGTAAAAGTAATGAACAATTTTTTTATTTACCTAAATCATCATCATCGTCATCTTCATCAGAGCTTTGAATTGGTACAAATGCAGAATGAAATATTCTTTGTTCTGTTTTTTTCTAAAATATATTTATCACAAATATAAGTATTCATGTTTGTTTGAATAATTTCAAGTATAAAAAATTGTTGGTTGGGTTTCATTATAATAAAAGTTTAAAGGTAAAATAATATGTAAATATCACTTACATTGATATAACAAATGATTGGCTTTAAATTATCTTCATTACAAAATGGTTGTATGTATGATACATCTTTTGGATCGCATAAAGTAAGAATAAATTCAGAACTCAGATTAACTTTTTCATGACAAGTTTTTGTAAAATTACTTAAATCCATCTATTTAACATAATTTAAATAATTAAAACTGAAATGCATGTTTCTATTAGTTTATCATGATAAAATTGACTAAAAATACTATAATATAATGAGTATAATTATTATATAATTATAATAATTTTATTTATATATATATATATATGATCTATTTTAAATTTTTTTATGCTAGAATTTTTTTTTTATTTACCATTAATATAGCTGAATATAGAAAAATAAAGAACTAAAACTATTTTAAGGTTAAAATAATTAAAAGTATTAATAAAACTAAAAATTTATTTAAAATAATATAATAATTTAATATATAAAATATTATTATATCGATTTTGATTATTATATGAGTAAATGTCAGAGTGATAAAAATTGGCGGTAAAAATTAATACAAGAAATGTTTATTAATCTTAGTCTAACTACAATCAGCTGTAAAGCAGACACTTTTGGAGTCACTGCAATAATCTTTAATAAATAAAAATAGTTATCTTTGATAATATATAATAGTAAATTTTAAAAAATTCTGTAAATGTATTTTACGATTTGACGAAAATTTTACTTGTATTACAATTTTTAAATACAGTACACCTAAAAATTGCAATAAATATTCTGTAAAATAAAGTTTTATGTAATACAAGTGTGATAAACAAGCTAAATAGATTAATATTGCCATACTTATAAGACCTTCATGGCTTCAAGTTTTTTTGAAGAGAAGAGTGGCATAATTCCATGTAATACAGAATGGGGAAGATGGTGGCAAACTGTCGACGAAATTCATATTGAAATAAAATCTCCTATCAGTTTAAAATCGAAAGATATAAAAGTCAATGTTACTAATTCAAGTATCAACTGCGAAATTTTAGGAAAATTGTTGTTTTCTGTAAGTTTTTTTTATTCTGTAATACAATCAATTTACTCATTTAAATCTTTTTGAAAAAGGGTAATTTATATAGAAAAGTACATGCTGATGAAACTGTGTGGACTTTAGAAGATAATTGTACTTTAATTAACATTGTGCTAACCAAAGCTGATTACATAAAAAAAGAAATAGTCTGGGAAGCATTAATGGAAGATAAGTCATTTATGGCCGATCCTTTAACTTTTATAGAAATGAGGAAAAAAATGGATCTTGAAAAATTTCAAATTGAGGTAAATACTGTTTTTTTCTTTTAGACTAATGATAGATTTAACCTTGGTTAAGATTAGTTAGTGGTATGTTTACAGATGAGCTCCTTTTGGTAATTTTGACAAATATCAGTTTTATTTCTCATAATATTACCTAAACACATAAGAAAAAAAAGGTGATGAGCAATAAATTTATTAATGAAAATGTATTTATTTTTTAGCTTTATCTTCATATGTTTTTTTTTTTAATTCCTTGATCTTATACTATAAGTGCAAAATTTTAAGGCTTAGGGTTTTCAATGTTCATCATTACTAGGATATAGTGTTTGTTACATTTAAAATGTTTGTATAGAACCTAATATTAAAAAATCAGTCTAAACTCTTTCAGCAACAAGTATCTTTAGACAATACCATTTTTTTTTATTACCAAGTTTACCCATTGTATATTTGTTATTTACTTATGCTTAACGTTCTATTTTAAAAACTATTGATTGTGCCAGAGAAACCCAGAAAACCTATATAACTTAACACAATAAAAACTGCAGTACATAGGTACTGAGACACAATATGTTACCAATTAAGCTAGGTAGACTGTCTAGTGTAGCATATCATAAAAAAAGAACTTTTACAAATTTCTTTTATAGTAAATCTAAAATACAGGGTGGCCCACCACTCATTGACAACTTAAATAACTTTTGATCCAGTTAATATTTTTAGTTGATTTTTTTTTAAAATAATATTTATACGTTAGGTCTATAGCTATATCTCAATAATTAATTTTTTTACATTTTATTAAAAATATTAATTATTTTTAAATTTTAAATAAAATGTAAAAAAAAAATCTAAGATAGCTATTTTGTAGAGTAGAATTTAAGAAAAATTTTAGTAAAAAAATATCTTATTAATATTCAGTAGTAAATATTCTGTAGCGTTTTGAAGTTTGTGAAAATTTGAATTTTCATGTACTATTTTACGGTATTAAACATTGAAATACGTATTGAGAAAAGGACAGAAGAAAACGCTATCTTTTCATGATTACTGTGTATACATATGATGATAGTGTGTATACATTACAAACTTGGCATAAATACCATGATAAGAAATTAGATAAGGCAATTATTACTTATCACTCTCATTCAAAAGTATATTGAAAAGATAGCGTTTTCTTCTGTCCTTTTCTCAATACGTATTTCAATGTTTAATACCGTAAAATAGTACATGAAAATTCAAATTTTCACAAACTTCAAAACGCTACAGAATATTTACTACTGAATATTAATAAGATATTTTTTTACTAAAATTTTTCTTAAATTCTACTCTACAAAATAGCTATCTTAGATTTTTTTTTTACATTTTATTTAAAATTTAAAAATAATTAATATTTTTAATAAAATGTAAAAAAATTAATTATTGAGATATAGCTATAGACCTAACGTATAACTATTATTTAAAAAAAAAATCAACTAAAAATATTAACTGGATCAAAAGTTATTTAAGTTGTCAGTGAGTGGTGGGCCACCCTGTATATCAACACCAGTATTAGCATAACATTTTACATTATAAAATTATAAATATATAATTTTAAAATAAATGAAAATTTTCAGATTCTTTAGGAAAAAGTTCATCAAATATTTTTCAAAATTAAAAATAGGTAATATGTATGAAATTCTTCAAATAATACTTTTAACAAGCTGTTTTCTGCATTACTTTCAGGATCGGGTATTTAAGTAAATTAAATGTTTTTTACATTATTTATTTAGGTACTATGTAAAATTATTCATTTAAAATTTCAAACAAAATATAACATTATTATATATTTGATTTCAAAATCATAAAAAAGTCACTTTTATAAAAAAAAAAAACTTTTTTACATAGAATGAGCAGTATATTCGTTTTATTTGAAACTTTATTTTACAAATACCTAATCCTATCAACCTAAAACAAAATATCCTACTCAAAAAATAAAGTACTATTTTTGAATTGTTGGACAAAACTTTTATATTAAATATAATTAAAATATATTGAAGTATTAGCAGTTTTATTATAATTTAAAATATAAATTGAATTTTTAATTTAATTAAGTTATTATTTTTAATGTATTGATCATCACTTTGAATTTTCAGTTTAATATTAAAGTTTTCATTTAATTAATATAAATTTAGAGAAAATAAATCTCCTCCATTTGTTTAATTTAAATTTCCTTCGTGGAACATGAAAGTTGAAAAAAAAAATTAACAACCTTTTATTTTGCTTAAAAACTGGTAAAATTGTTAAATAGCCTACTAAAAATATCACATCCTCTAAAAAAAAATTAAAATGGTTCCATAGTTTTTTATTATTTGTTAGATTATCTTATTTGTATTGGTCAACTGTGTAAGGACCAATAAATTAAACTGTGACACTTATTTGAAATATGAGTAACCTATTAATATACATATTTGAACTGGGCTATATAAAAATTAAGTGTTTCACGAATCGGTGCACTTATGTGTAATCTAATGAAATGTATTTATTTTTTGAAACTTTTGTAAAAGAATATTACTTGTGTATAGTGTTGATAAGGTTACACTGTTTCCGAAATACGTATCCACAATGTTTTGTTGCTTTTTGAATTTAATATTTTTAATGTAGTTTTGATTTTAAATAATATTGTCCACAAGTGATCAATTTTTATTATAGAATATTACAGTTAGAAAATGATTCAATCAAGAAAATATGTAGTCAATAACAACTTTTAAATCAGTATTTTGCAATTTAATAACACTTTAGAATATAGACTGAGAATGAGGTACGGATTAACATAAAAATAATTAAACGGAGAAATAATTACAACTATGGAAACCAAAAAAAAAATTTATTGATGTAGGATAAGTCTAATAGTCAACAAGAAATCAATCACTCTGTATAAACACATTCTTTTGATTATTCTGCTGTAACTATCATACCTCTTTTAAGCTCTTTAATGTTTGTTTAAATTGATATGCATTAATAAACTTTTAATTATTTGTACTTGTTTGTGTTTTTTTTTAATTGCTTTTGCTGTATATGAATAAATATATTAATATATATATATATATATATTTTTTTTAGTATCCTGGAATGGATTTTAGCAAAGCACAACTTCAAAAGAGTTATGACCATATGCCTGATTTCGAAAATTAACATTGATTGAAAAAACGATTGTAATTTAAAAAAATAAAATTTTCTTATTATGCAGTATATATTTTAATATGGCGTTCTTTCATATTAAAAATATTATTTAATTTTGTGTTGAGATATACCTAGCAGCTGAGTATAAGAGGAAGCAACATTTTGTGCTCTCGTTTATTCTACATACGTTGGGATCAAAACAAAAAAGTGGTGTTAATCAATTTTAATACATTTTAAACTTTCCACTAGTTTAGCGTTTGGTTCGTCAAATTTTATTTTTACGAGTTGCGCTAGCGTAAATGTTAATCGCCAACTTAAGGGTCTCCGTTGAACGGTTTAGCATCTGGATCCATTAAGGAACATAATTAATATTGAATATTTTCATTTTATCAGATTATCGAAATTCTAGTTATTTGATTAATTTATATGAGTAGCCGCTATATACGCAGTTTATAAAGAAACAATTTCATGTGTTGTTTTATATACGTAGAATCCTATTCAGGTATAAGGTCAAACATAAGGACATAAAATTCGAACAAATGATAGGCATCAACACGAATCAAGATAAAAAACCCAGCACAGAGTGGTCGCGGCAAAGTGGTGACGTGGCATAGTTGGATCAAGTATAATGATATCTGACTGTGATTAAAATCACTATCAAAAATAAACGCTTCGATGCAAATCTTTAGATAGTGT